TGTTTTTTTTTTTTAATCTTGCTCGTCTAGCTCTTTCAATTTTGACAATAGTGTGTCAATTTTAGATCTTTCCTCTCTTCTTTGGTGGACATTTATTGCTATAAATTTCCATCTTGACACTGCTTTGAAGGTGTCCCAGAGATTCTGGTAAGTTGTGTCTTCATTCTATTGGTTTTGAAGAACATCTTTATTTCTGCCTTCATTTCATTGTTTATCCAGTTGACACTCAGAAGCAAGTTGTTCAGTTTCCAAGTGGTTGTGCAGGTTTGAGTGTGTTTCCTGATCCTGAGTTCTAGTCTGATTGTGCTGGGGTCTGATACACTGTTTGTTATGATTTCTGTTCTTTTGCATTTGCTGAGGGGTGATTTGTTTCCAATAATGTGGTCAGTTTTAGAGTAAGTACAGTGTGGTACTGAGAAAAATGTATATTCTGTGGATTTGGGGTGGAGCGTTCTATATATGTCTATTAGGTCTGCTTGGTCCAGCTCTGCATTGAAGTTCTGGATACCCTTGTTAATTTTCTGTCTTGTTGATCTGTCTAATATTGACATTGGAGTGTTGAAGTCTTCTACTATTATTGGATGGGAGTCCAAATCTCGTTTTAGGTCATTAAGAACTTGATTTATGTATCTGGGTGCTCCTGTGTTGGGGGCATACATATTTAGGATAGTTAGCTCTTCCTGTTGGATTGATCCTTTTACCATTATGTAGTGTCCTTCTTTGTCTCTTTTGATCTTTGATGGTTTGAAGTCCATTTTATCAGACTAAGGAATGCAACCCCTGCTTTTTTGTTGTTCTCCATTTGCTAGGTAAATCTTCTTCCATCCCTTTATTCTGAGTCTATGTGTGTCTTTGTATGTGAGATGGATTTCCATCTCCGATGGGTTCTGACTTTTTATCCAGTTTGCCAGTCTGTGTCTTTTGATTGGGGTGTTTAGGTCATTTACATTCAATGTTAATATTGTTATGTGTGAATTTGATCCTACCATTTTGTTACTGGCTGGTTTTCTTTCCCGTTAGTTGACTCATTTTCTTCATTGCATTTTTGGTCTTTGCCAGTTGGTTTGCTTTTGCAGTGACTGGTACTTGTTCCTTTCCATGCTTAGTGTTTCAAGAGCTCTTGTAGGGCAGGTCTGATGGTGAGAAAATCTCTCAACAATTGCTTGCTAGTAAAGGATTTTATTTCTCCTTCACTTAACGAAGCTTAGTTTGGCTGGATATGAGATTCTGGGTCGAAAGTTCTTTTCTTAAAGGATGTTGAATATGGGCCCCCACTCTCTTCTGGCTTGTAGGGTTTCTGCTGAGAGATCTGCTGTGAGTCTGATTGGCTTCCCTCTGTGGGTGACCTGACCTTTCTCTCTGGCTGCCTTTAGTGTTTTTCCTTCATTTCAACCCTGGTGAATCTGACGATTATGTGCCTTGGGGTTGCTCTTCTTGAGGAATATCTTTGTGGAGTTCTCTGTATTTCTTGAATTTGAAATTTGGACTGCCTTGCTAGGCTTGGGAAATTCTCCTGGATAATATCCTGGAGCGTGTTTTCCAGCTTGGATTCATTCTCCCCATCATATTCAGGTACACCGATCAAGCGTAGATTAGTTTTTTTCACATAATCCCATATTTCTTGGAGGCTTTCATTTCTTTTCACTCTTTTTTTCTCTTGTCTTGCCTTCTCTTTTTATTTCATTGAGTTGATCTTCAATCTCTGATATCCTTTCTTCTGTTTGATTGATTTGGCTATTAAAATTTGTGTTTGCTTCACGTAGTTCTCATGCTGTTTTTCAACTCAATCAAGTTGTTTATGTTCTTCTCTAAGCTGGTTATTCTAGTTAGCATTTCATCCAAACTTTTTTTCAAGGTTTTTGGTTTCTTTGCATTGAGTTAGAACGTGTTCCTTTAGCTCAGAAAAGTTTGTTATTATCTACCTTCTGAAGCCTGTTTCTGTCAATTCGTTGCACTCCTCAGTCAAGTTGTTGAGGAGTTGTGATCCCTTGAAGGAAAAGAGGTGTTCTGGTCTTTGATGGTTTCATCTTTTTTGTGCTGTTTTTTTTCCCCATCGTTGTGGATTTACCTGGCTGTGGTGTCAGACAGCTGCTTGAATGAGGTCCCTTGTCTGCCTATGGAGCACTGCTGGGTTTCTAGGGAGTCCTTCAGGTTACTAGGAAGCTTACTGTGTCTTTTTGTTTATACTGGGAGATTAGGCCTGCCTCTTAACGCTGACCTGTAGGCGCTGCTGGGTTGTCAAGAATGCCGTCCCATTGCTACATAGGCTTCCTGTGTTTTTTGTTAAAACATGTAGTCCAGTCCCACCCCTCTAGTGGTGGGTTATGTACTTCCTCCCCTGGGCTGGATCATTCAGGGATCATCTCAGACTGTGGCACTGGCTGAGCAACCCCACTAGAGTCAGAGCTTCAGACCTCTGGGGTTTGTGGGGGAGAGTAGGGACCCACCCAGCCACACCCAGCCATCTCCCCCTTTCAGCTTTCTCTCTCTCCGGTCAGGAGCAGGGGCCCACCCAGCTGCTCCCGCTTATAGCTCCCTCTCCCTCAGGGCGGGGGTGGGGGGGAGGAGCGGGGGTGGAGGGGGCGATAGCTCAGTCCGCAGGCTCTTATTCAACTCCGGGCTTGTAATTTCTGGCGCTTGACTGGCAAAGATCCCCTGTTCTGTGTATTGCTGAGGCTTTGGGGGAAGCGCTGTATCTGGACCGAAGTGCCAGAGGGGGAGCCTCCAACTTGCCAGTCAGATGCACTTACTGGGTGAAGCAGCACCCTTCCCCACCTCGGTCTGCCCTGAGTGGGCTTTGCTCACCATTGGACCAGACCCATTGAAATATACCTGGTACCTCAGTTGGAGCTAGGAGATCTCTGGATTTCTGCATCTCTCTCGCTGGGTGTTGTGCACTGGAGTTGTGTCTAATTGGCCATCTTGCCTGGAAAGCCAGATAATCTTTTAATTCTGTTTTGAAGTGACACTGTGTTGCCCAGGCTCGTCTTGAGCTCTTGGGCTCAAGCAGTTCTCCCACCTCAGGCTCCCAATGTGTTGGCATTACAGGCATGAGCCACCACACCTGGCCAGATTTTTTTGGAAAAAATTTTGCCCATTTAAATTAAGGTACCAAAATATACAAATTTTAAAATAATGGGCTGAGTGAGGTTGCTCACACCTGTAATCCTAGCACTTTGGCACTCTGGGAGGCCAAAGTGGGAAGATCGCTTGAGGTCAGGAGTTGGAGACCAACCTGGGCAATACATGGAGACCGTGCCTCTCCAAATAAAATAAAATAAAATGATGCATTCATAAAGAACAGAAGAGAGTAAAGAACTTCTCTGAAATCCTATCTTGAGTTATGTTAGTATTAAAAGATGACCCTGGGTGAGTTTAACTCATATCATCAAAATGAAACTATGTTCAGTAGGATTACAATTCCCAATAATGCTATAATTTAAATTTTTCTAATACAGATGAAGAACTAGCACTGGATGGCAGTTTTGATCCAGACCTAAAAAACTACCACAAACTTCACTGGGAAACAGAATTCAAACCTGTGGCACAGCAGCTTCTAAACCGAATTCAGAGACATCACACCTTCCTGGAACCTCTGCCTGTTCCCTCTTTCTAACACGATGCAGATTAACAGTAGAAACAGGAAGTCACGTCTCTCTCATTCTTAAGAACTGGTAACAAATGTGAATACTTTTTTCAGCATTAACAAATATGGAAAATTTTTCAAGAACTGCTTTTAGTGAGTAGCCAAAGTATTTTTTTAAAAAATAAGCATTTATTCTTGTTAGGGTATTATGGAAAAATGAATATACATGTTATATTTCCTGTTAGGAGAAATGTAAGATGAAAATATACGCATTTTTAAGTAAATGACTTTTTCTTCTATTCTCTATTAAATAATTTAGTTCTAGTCTTAAAATCTTGATTTAGCAGTTTTGGAATTAAAGTGTTCGTTAAATGAACTGAGCAGTAAAGGCTGTTAGATTATGAAGAAGGGTAGTCAGCGTGAATGGAACACATTACAACATAGGATCTGTGTTAATTCTTACTGCATCAAATAATAAATGTTCTAAGTACCAGTATTTTTCTGGTCCTCATAGTAAAGAGAATGAGTAAGCAGAAAATCATAGAGAAAACTGCTTTGGGCCATCTATTCTTTATTAAATAAGTAAAATAGATTAAAACAAGAGTATCTTCATTTGAAATAAAATGACTGGACTAAGTCCTCTGAATTGTAACTCTCTGTGTTTGGCAGGTGATGTAATGCATTCGAAAGCATGTAGGCCTAGGTGAATGGTAGACCTGAGCCTGAATCCTTGCTCTCCCCTGCAAGCTGTGTGGGCCTAGAACAAACAAGTAACTTAATTTCTGGAGCTTCAACTGTAAAATGGGAATCATATCTATTTTACTGTAGTGTAGTTTAGAACAAACTATTAAATGGGCAAATGGCGCATCCAGTGTATGATGTGGAGTGGATGCTCAAGAACATGATGATGGCAAGCACTTTATTAGCTTGCTGTGCTTTGTAGGATGAGTTTGGCCTTTGAATAAATGATTAAAAAACAAAAAATTGAGATTACTATTGTTATCCTAAAACAAAAAATTGAGATTACTATTGTTATTCTATACTAGCCAAATGAATATGAGTTGAAAACAAAAATGAATTTACTGGCTCACACCTATAATTCAGCATTTTGAAAGGCTGAGGGAGGAGGATCCCATGAGGCTAGGAGTTCAAGACCAGCCTGGGCAACAAAGTGAGACCTCATCTCAGCAACAACAAAAAGTAAATTTACTACTCTGCTTGGAGAAAGCCTTTTATTAACAGTTGATTTCTCGCCCTACAAAATACCAAGACTCATGGGATAAGAGCAGGCGTCCCAGATTGCATGGGTTCCTGAAGCCTATTAGAATAAACTAGCCTGTGATAGAATGTTGTTGCCTGTGATAGAATTCCTTTTTTTTTTTTTTTTTTTTTGTAACTGAGACTGTAATATGATCCATTACATTAATAGTGACTCTAAATAGTCAAATAACTAACCAGTTTATTTTTATTTTGTAACTGAGACAGAGTCTCAGAACAGTCTCTGTTGCCCAGGCTGGAGTACAGTGGCATGATCTCAGCTCTGCAACCTCCACTTCCTGGGTTCAAGTGATTCTTCTGCCTCTGGGATTACAGGCATGCAACTGTAATCCACGCCTGGCTAATTTTTATATTTTTAGTAGAAATGGGGTTTCACTATGTTGGTCAGGCTGGTCTCAAACTCTTGTCCTCAAGTGACCCACCTGCCTCAGCCTCCCAAAGTATTGGGATTACAGGTGTGAGGCACCTGTGCCTGGCCAATTTCTTTCCTTTTTAAGACTGAATAATATTCTGTTCTATGTATATATCACATTTTGTTTATCCATTCATCTGTCAATGAATATTTGGGTTGCCTCCATCTCATGGCTATTGTAAATAATGTTGCCATGAATATAGGTGTGCAAATACCTCTTTGAGATCTTGTTTTCAGTTCTTTTGTGTATATACGCAGAAGTGATGTCTTAGTTCAAGGTGAGATACAAAAATATCTTAGTTTGGGTGACTTAAATTCATTCCTCACAGTTCTTAAGACTGGCAACTCCAGGGTCAGGGTGCTGGCCAGTTCACTTTGTGGTGAAGGCCCTGTTGATAGATCATCTCTCATCTGTCTCTCCTTGCAAGGGTTTAATGCCACTCAACCTCCCTGCTAATGACCTAATTACTTCCCAAAGACCATATGGCTTCAACCTGTGAATTTTGGGGGAACACAAATAGTCCACAGCAAGTGGAATTGCTATATCATATGGGAATTCTATTTCTTATTTTTTTGAAGAAACTCCATAGTGTTCTCTAGAGTGGTGATTATCATTTTACATTCTCACCAATACCACGTAAGTGTTCCAATTTCCCCACATCCTTACCAACACTTGTTATTTTGGGATTTTTAAAAATAGTAGCCATCCTGATGGGTGTGAGGTAATGTGTCATTGTAATGTTGATTTACATTTCTTATAGTCATGCTGAGCACTTCTTCATAATTTTTGTTGGCCATTTGTATATTATCTTTGGAAAAATGTATATTCAAGTCTTTTGCCCCCCCCCCCTTTTTTTTTCTCTTGTGACATTGTCTCACTCTGTCACCAGGCTGGAGTGCAGTGGCACAATCTCGGCTCACTGCAGTCTCCACCTCCTGGGTTCAAGCCAGCCTCCTGCCCTAACCTCCTGAGTAATCCCAGCGGATTATAGGCATGTGCCACCACACCCAGCTAAGTTTTGTATTTTTAGCAGATACAGGGTTTCACCGTGTTGGCCAGGATGATTTTGGTCTCTGACCTCGTAATCCGCCTGCCTTGGCCTCCCAAAGTGCTAGATTACAGGTGTGAGCCACTGTACCTGGCCCCATTTTTTAGTTATTTGTGTGTTTTTTGAGTTGTAGGAATTCTTCATATATTCTGGATATTAAACCCTTACCAAATATATGATTTATGAATATTTTCTCCCATCTCATAGGTTACCTTTTCACTGTTGATTATGTCCTTTGATGCACAAACACATTTAAGTCTGGTGTAATTCCAATTGGCTTTTTTCGCCTATACTTTGTGTCTTACCTAAGAAATCATTGCCAAACCCAGTGTTTTGAAACGTTCCCCCAGTGTTTTCATCTAGTTTTACAGTTGTTGGTCTTAATTTAGGTCTTTGAGTTTTTAAAATATAAGGGTCCAACTTCATTCTTTTGCATGTGCATATCCAGCTTTCCTAGCACCATGTGTTGAAGAGATTGTCCTATCCGTGTTGAGTGGTCTTGGCACCCTTGCTAAAGAGCGTTTGGCCATGTATGTGAGAATTTATTTCTGGACCCTAGTCCATTGGCCTATATGTTTGACTTTCTGCCAGTTCTACGTTATTTTGATTACTGTCGTGTTACAATAGGTTTTGAAATCAGGGAGTGTGAAACCTCCAACTTTGTTACACAGTTTTTCAAGATTGTTTTGGCTATTCAGGGTTCCTTGAAGATTCTACATGAATTTTACCATGGAATTCTCTACTTCCGTGAAAAATGCCATTGGGATTCTGATAGAGATTGCGTTGAATCTACAGGTCACTCTGGGTGACCTGAACAATATTAAGTCTTCCAATCCAGGACCATGAGATCTCTTTCCATTTTTTTGTGTCTTTAATTTCTTAGTGATGCTTTACAGCAGGGATCCCCAACCCATGGGCCATGGACCAGCCACATAGCAGGAGGTGAGCTGTGGGCAAGTGAGCATTACTGCCTGAGTTCTGCCTCCTGTCAGATCAGCCACAGCATTGGGATTCTCATAGGAGCTTGACCCTATTGTGAACTGTGCATGTGAGGGATGTGGGTTGTGCACTTCTTATAAGAATCTAATGCCTGATGATCTGAGGTGTAACAGTTTTATCCTGAAACCGTCCCCCACTGCATCATCCACTCTGGGTCCATGGAAAAACTGTCTTCCATGAAACCAGTCCTGATGCCAAAAAGGTTGGCAATTGCTGCTTTACAGTTTTCAGTGTATATGTCTTTTGTCTTAGTCTGTTCAGGCTGCTGTAACAAAATACGTTAGACTGGGTAATTTATATATGGATAACAGAAATTTCTTGCTCACAGTTCTGGAGGCTGGGAAGTCCAGTATCAAGGATTTGGGGCCTAGTATCATCTTCCTCACAGACGGCACACTCTTGTGTCCTCCCATGGTGGAAAGTGAGCTCCCCAGGCCTCTATTACAAGGACACTAATCCCATTCATGAGGGCAGAGCCCTCTTGACCTTATCACCTCCCAAAAGCCTACCTCTTAATACTAGCACATTGGGGATTACATTTCAACCGTCAAATCTGGGGCGGGGAGACACAAACATTCAGATCATCACGTATCTCCTTGGTTGTTTATTCCTAAGTATTTTATTCTTTTTGATGCTATTGTAAATGGAATTGTTTAATTTTTTTGGATCATTCATTGTTAGTGTATAGAAATGCGACTGATTTTTGTGTGTTGATTTGTAGCCTGCGACTTTGCTGAATTTATGCTTCCTCCTAATCATACCATTCTCTGCTGGGGAAGAGCTAGGGTGAGCAAAATGCACAAACTTTCCTGGCCTTTCGGTGCAGCCTTTTCCTGGCTTTGCATTTGCCTAAGTGCTGCAGTTTCCCAGTTGGTTTCTAGAGTTCTCACAAAGATACTCTGGCCCATATATTGTTAACTCAGTGTCTCTGGGAGAATGAGGATGCAGAGTTCCCAAGTCCATCATCTTGCTGACATTACTTCCCATCTACTAGCTACAGCAAAAGGCTAGTGTGATGATTTGGGTATGACATTCACATATAGAAATATGCTAATAAAATTTCAGAGTATATTGATCAAAAATGCTTACCCAACAAGTTCTACTTATCTACTTTCCTCCCAGTGGTGTATGTCAAAATGAATTTCGTTCTTAGAGATAATTAAGTTTGGCCTAATAAAATTAAGTTTTCCCAAATATGACCAAAAAACCCCTTAGATTTTAACTCTTGAATCCTAGGAACCTCAACCAGAAATCTTTTCATGATTATTTTAGAAAAAAATTTTCCTCTGGTGGGGGAATATTTTAATATCCCCAGTGCAATGTACCTTCCCTAATTATTTTGGAAACAACTGGTTTCAAAGATTATATAGTAACATTAGAAATCCCATGTGTTCAGTTTTGAGAAAACATTGAGTAACAGGAAGCACCTGTTAAATGGAAGGCACTGAAACATTAACTTTGTATCACATGCATTTTTATTACTTTAGGTATAAACATATTTTTTAACTCATTAAAATTTTGATTTTAATTTCTAAGTGATTATATGTTCCAGTGGACTAAATGCATTCCAGTTGATCTTGTTTTGTGATCACTCTACTGCTGATTAGAATCTCTACCAGAAATTTTGTATTTTCAAGAGGAGGAACAAAGCAGAAACAGGATGAGTAAAATTTTCACTATTTCCAGTGCATCTTTACTTCTTGGGTTAAATAATTGTATTGCTACGGTGAGAGAACTCAGCAGCAGATAGAAGAGGACAAAGGCATGATGCATATTCAATGGACAATGAACTTATGTTTCTTTCAATATAAAACATATTGAAGATAATAGTCGTCTATTTCTAGCTAAGGTTATAGTCTTGTCTTCTCACTACAGTATATCCTTCAGGGCAGGTAGCACCTCTATTCAAAACTGATCCTTCCCAACCCCCACTTCCACACTACCCCATACATTTGTAGGCACTAGAGTGACTCAGTCAGTGTTTTGAGGAGTAGTAGAGTTATCACAACAGCTTCAGTTAAACTTAAGAGCTATTTCTGCTTGTCTGATACAGTGTGATTTTTTTGTTCTCTCATCTCTTCCTAATGAATCCTTCTTTCTAATAATCTGTAAAATTCTGTTGGAACTCTAAAACATCCCAGTTCAAAAGAGAGCAGGCAAAGAGCCATACCAGTCATTTCCAAGATAAAAAATGGTCTTAAATAAGATTCTGAAGAGGGTCCACTCCTCTTTGTATCTTTCAAAATGGCTTCAAGTGTTTTGCCATTTAAAAGTAGTCTCATGATTACAGCATTATTTAAGTGTGAATCTGTTTGGCTTATGAAAGTAGAGAGAAAGTCAGAATTGTTACTAATAGTGAAGTCATGACTTTTTAAGAGATTGAGACAGCAAACAAAATTGGAGAAAAATTATTCTTTATTGAAAAATACCAATAATGCTGACAGACTTCAAAAGCAATTCACGCTTCCAGAATACAAAGTACTTAATACATATTTTCAAACCTGTTTGGATTTCAAACAAAGTTAGCATTTTTATAAATCAAATTTGATAACCTGGCTAAAAATATTTTCCAGCTTTATTATTTAAGGAGCTGCACAACCTTTTACAGTGGGGACCAGGAGGCAGGCAGAAGCAGAGACACAGAATACACCCAGGACTGCACAGCAGTCTACAGCAACATGTCCCACAACTTCAGTGCTACAAAATCTTCACTGCATAAGACAGCTGCCCTCCAGTGTCAGTATCTTGTGAAACAGCATATCAAAATATAGCCAGTTTCTTATAATTTATACACTTTCATTTAGGATTGCTTTTTGAAGAAAATCTTTAAGGATGCCATAATAATATCATCCAGAATCCTGAATTTAAAAAACGAAAGAAAGAAAGAAATGAACTGTTACCATCAAAATGGTTGTTGCTGAGCTGTGTGAGTAGGAATTCTATGCTTTTTTAGATGCAAAAAAATTAACACATAATGCAAGTTTAATTTGAAATCACACAAGTTATGTACGTAGGCTCAGATAGTAGCAATGTTCACTTTTATTACTAATAGCTTAACTGAAACAGCCATCTATTCATTCCTCCAGCAGGAATAGCAGCACCAAGATCTTCTAAAATTCTTTATGTATAAAGCTTAAGTCATTATCCAAGTCCCATTCTTTGCATGCTCCAATTCTTGTTATCTTATTTAACAGAAAAGCAACATGATTTGGAGAATTACTATTTGCTGTATTAAAACAGTTACACAGCATCTTCTACTGTCAAAAAGCAAAATACTGTGAATGGCAGCCTTTCTTCACAGATCTAAACTTGAAGCTGCCAAGCGATCACTGCTTGTAGCGGCAGTGGTTTTCCACAGTAAAATAGCCGAAACTAAAGGAATCATGGCACAATGGAGTTCTGAATTATTTTGTCTACCATTGGTCCTGGGGCTTGGTACCTTCCCCTTGTAGACTATTATCTGCTGATCATTCCAGAATCATCTTTAATGAAGGAAAGGCATCAGGTCATATAGCGGGTAATGGCTCTCAGAGCATAAAGCAGTTCTGCTTGCATCCTAGCTTCTATAAGAAGCAGATTAACATGAACCTGAATATAAAATACAACATCATATAAGGAAGGGTCACAAGCATTGACAATCACAGTTTTTCAGTGCATCTAATGAACACATTAAGTACACTTCCTATATAGTACTGAATAACTTAGTCTTGGGTTTGTTAAATAGAATATCAATTTCTCAAAGTAACAGCTGTCTAATATTCTTTTTTTTTTTTCCCAATACGCAGTTTCACTCTTGCCCAGGCTGGGGTGCAGTGGTATGATCCTGGCTCACTGCAGCCTGCAACCGCCACCTCCCGAGTTCAAGTGATTCTCATGCCTCAGCCTCCCAAGTAGCTGGATCTAGAGGTGCATGCTACCATGCCCAGCTAATTTTTTTGGTATTTTTAGTAGAGATGGGATTTCACCATGTTGGCCAGGCTGGTCTTGAACTGCTGACCTCAAGTGATCTGCCTGCCTTCGCCTCACAAAGTGCTGGGATTACAAGTGTGAGCCACTGTGCCGAGCCTAATATTCTTTTTGGATAGCTTTCATTTATATTTTATCGTATTTCTTGGAGGTTTGTCATATGTCAGAAAATCTAGACACTGTTTTATTAGAATACCAACTTCCCCTGCCAAATCATTATTCAGTAATTTCTATAAAGATGTTTCAAAGAGAACAGACACTTCTACACATACACAGCTTTTACAAAACAGTCTTTCTTCTACATGCTGACAGCCATGCCAGCACTTCTGAAGATGGGCCAGCCCACCTGTCCTCCCTGTTTTCATTCTTCTACTCTATCACTATGACGAGGTTCCCTTCTGAAAGAGCACCTCAGACAGCTGTCCTAGAATGTTTTTCTTTGGGTTGGTAGGGGTGATGGAAAGGTTTCAGAGCCATTAGGTTAGGTGAAGGACTCTACGAATCACTGCTAAGTTACAGAGTAAACATGCCACAACAGGCACATACCTTCTCAGAGTGCTTGAACTGCCTCCAGAAGCTATCATACATTCTTTTGGTAACCTTTTCAGGAGTGCAAACAACAGTTTTGATATAAACTTTAAAGCTACGATCCAATAGCTGGTTAATTTCACCATAGTCATAATCATCATATCTGTTGAAAGACATAGTGAGAATTATATTTTCAGTGTATAACCTATTTTCGTCTTATGAAAGAATACACATCAATAGTTAATGCTGTATTTTTTTCCCTCTTTGTGTAGGTAGCTGTCCCCAAAAACGACAGAGCTTTACAATTGGGGGGTGGATGACTGAGTATAAAGGAATAAGAAACAACAGAACATTTTCTGCTGCCCAAGTAAATCATTCCTGAAAGCTGACAATATTAATGTAGCACTGGGTACCCGGCAAGTGTATATTTGCAATAATGAACATGCAACCACACTAAGGAACAAATTATTATTATTTTTTGAGACTGAATCTTGCCCTGTCACCCAGTCTGGAGTCCAGTGGTGCTATCTTAGCTCACTGCAACCTCCACCTCCTGGGTTCAAGTGATTCTCTCAGCTCAGCCTCCTGAGAAAAGCTGGGATTGCAGGTGTGTGCCACATGCCCTGCTAATTTTTGTATTTTTAGTAGACACAGGGTATCACCATGTTGGCCAGGTTAGTCTACAACTCCTGATCTCAAGTGATCTGCCCACCTTGGCCTCTCAAAGTGCTGGGATTATAGGCATGAGCCACTGCACCTGGCTGAACAAATTCTGAAAACAGATGATCAAAATTAACAATTATATTTGTTTTTGGTACTATTATATTCTCTCTCTCTATGTATATCTATATATATATGTAATTATTTTTATTTATACAAGTGAATTTCTATATATATTTAATTATAAATATTTTAATTTTAAATGTTGTATATAATTATATATATTTATATACACATATATAGAGAAATTCACTTGTATAAATAAAATAATTAGAATTACTTTACTCATGTTTCTAGGAGTTTCTGGGGTCAAATGAGAAAAAAGGCAGGGGCTGGGGAGAGAAGGATGATTTATACTTAGGAGAGCCCATCCTGCTTTAAGCCAAGATGGTTGCATGCACCAGCGTCTGCTTTGCTCCACTGGGTAATGGATTCCCAATCACATAGGCACTGTAGTCTCCTATTGAGTTTTCAGTGGGAAGGGGAGAAAGGTCTTGCATAGCTGGTTCTACAACCATTCAGGAGGCTAAAGTCAATAGTCTGGCTACTGATTAGTGGGAAATTAGTTTAAAGTTGGTCAGATGTAACTTGAATGCCAGATACGTTTGGAGTAGATTAAATAGGGTTTACAGGTTTTGAGCAGAGTCTGTTAAAATGAATAGAAAGCCTGACTTTACAGCTAAAATGACTAGTAAGCACTGTAGCATGGAGTTTGTGTGCATGTGTGAGAAGATGGCATACAATGGCTGCATTTTCAATATAACGTTGTAACATGGCTGAAAACCTAACAGCAAGGACATGAAAGTTTTGATTAATGAGGTATTATAAGAGCAAGTACTCTTCAGAAGGAGCCTAAGAACAGCCAGAGGAGCAATATAAGGGTACTGATTTCCAAGAAACATAAATGCCAGGAGATAGATGATATGAAAAGATACTAAAGGCGTTCAGTGACAAACTTTGTTCTGGAACCAGCTTGCTTGTCCTTCCTTCCTTTGCTGGAGGCAGCTATCATTCAGCTCTTCTCAAAGTCCCTAACTCTCCCTCCTGCCTAGCTAGGAAAGAGGAGAGAAAACTAAACTGCAATAAAGTGGTTCTTTGAAGTATAAAAAGCATAAGAATAAGTTACTGGGGAGGGGATGGATTTTGACTATGTGTGTGTCTGTGTGCATGTGCACTCCAAGCACCTGAATAATTTGGCCCAGAGAAAAACATCTCTTTATAAACACAGAAAGAAGACTAACCTTATTCCAAACATGCAGTGAATATAGTTCCAAATTGCCCGTCTAAGCATTGAGGTATCAACATCTTTGTGCATTGCCATTGTATTATAAGTAAGATTGTAAGCAATGTGAAATTTTTCATCAATCAACTGTCCCACATCTGGATAAAGGCGATTTACCAAAGAATAACCATGATCTTCCCAGCAATAGTCCTAAATACAGGGAATAGAACAAATGTGAATAATTAAAATGTGCTCAAGTACAGTTCTATATCTACAGCTCTGTAGTATATAAAAATCATTGCCATTTGGCTGACAATCCAACTGGCTTTCATCCCTAACTCCCAGCTTCACTTGCACTCCAATCTTACGTTTTCAATTTCCATACTGCAACATCCAAAAGGTGTTTTATAATGCAGTGAATTTAAAAACTAATGGAGGATTTAAATCTCCTTGTCTCCTTTCTTTAGTCTCGTCTCAAAAAATGAAAACAAACTAATAGTCTCCTCACCTTACACATCCGCCTTTATCTCTTTCACACTATCTCCACTTATCTCCCAGATGTGACCAGCTTGGGAGTCCCCTCTCCTTTTCCATTGCAGTTCAAATGGTCTTCAAATTATGTGTGTGTGTGAGAGACAGAGAGAGAGAGTGTGTGTGTGTGTGTGTGTGTGTTTTAAGAGACAAGTTCTCACTCTGTTGACCAGGATGGAGTGCAATGGTGGCAACGGTGTGATCACAGCTCGCTGCAGCCTCCAACTCCTGGGTTCAAGTGATCCTTCCTGTCTCAGCCTCCTAACTGGAACTACAGGCACAGGTCACCTTGCTTGGTTAGTTTTTTAAATTATTTGTAGAGATAGGGTCTTGTTTTGTTGCCCATGCTAGTCTTGAATGCTTGGCCTCAGTGATTTTCCCATCTTGGTCTCTCAAAGTGCTGGGATTACACATGGGAGCCACCCATCTGCCCAAATTTTGTGAGTTTTTAACTCAACACATCCATCACCCATTCCTTCTCCTCCTACCCCCACTTCTGCCTTTTAGCCCTGTTAACTGAGTCTCCTAATTAGTTTTCCTACATTAAATCTCCTTGCCTTTCTTTCCACCTGAAACAAAACTTAATAAGCCCCTACTTCTTTGTTGCTTTCCTAAAAACACTTCTTTGATATTACGCCATCACTCTGGTCAAAGCCTACAAACCCCACTTAATCTACTGTAAACTGCTTTGGCATTTAAGGCACACCTAACCAATTTTAAACTCATAATTGAATTCTCTGTGCCTTTTATTACCACTAATCAGAAGCAGGAATCCTTAGCTTGAAGCTCTCAGCAGCCAGCCAATCTTTTTATAGTTCCTTCCCTCACTCTATCCCTCAACCTGCGCCTTATTGTCTAGTCTCCTCTACTTACAGTACCCTTTTTACCATCCAAATTATTCAAATCCTAATCTCCCTCCATAAAATTTCCAGCCCACGTCTTCAATTTGTATTGTATAATTATCCTAATTATACAATAATTTTGCCCCTTAGTTTATTTATTTCTTGAGATAGGGTCCCACTCTGTCACCCAGGCTGGAGTACGGTGGCTCCATCACAGCTCACTGCAGCCTCAACCTTCCAGGCTAAAGTGATCTTCCTACTTCAGCCTCCTGAGTATATAGGACCACAGGTGCACACCATCACACATGGCTTTTTTTTTTTTTTTTTTTTTTTTGAGACAGGGTTTCTCCATTTGGCCAGGCTGGTCTTGGAACACCTGGCTCAGGTGATCCACCAGCCTCAGCCTCCCTCCCAAGGTGCTGGGATTACAGGCGGGAGCCATTGTGTCACGCCCCTTAGTTTCTTGAAGTAAGAAACAAAATCTTATGGTTCTCAAATATTTTCATAATTCTGGTAAAATAGTTATTATTTAACACTGGACCCTAACAATATTTGGGAACGTTGGGAGTATTAACTCATCCGAATTAAATACTTACCTATTTAAATATTTACACAATAAAAATTTTAAGATATACATACATTTAAAACTACAGTATGACTTCACAGATGGATCAGAAGCAGTCTTTCAGCTGCTATTCTAAAACAAGAAGAGATACTGCCTGCAAAGCACTCAGCATAGTTCTCAAGTGTAAGTGGCTCTTTTGTATTTTAAGTCAGTCTGAGGTATTTCTAGTCAATCATGTGCATACAAGTTGAAATTTTACCTGGACACGAAATGTTGGAACATGCATCCCATGTCTAGAGAAATCTTTATAGCCATAGCTAGTATCCTCAAAATGACGAGATATGTCCCTTGCTGGTGTAACTTCTTCATCATCTGGGAAAAAAGCCATTGAAAATTAAAAAAAAATAGGAAGCTAGTTAAAATTGATTTTACCCATAGCAAGTAAAAATGGCATAGCCCTTTCTCTGATACTGAGTAACCAATATCAACCAAAATAGTCTTATAACTATACAAAGATATAGCTTACTTGCTAGTAAACAGAATGTAGTAACAGAAGATTCTCTTATAAAATGAAAATTCATAGTTGAATTCTCTATGCCTTTTTATTGCCTCTTTCACAGAACCCCCCATTCTAATTTATATATATTAGGTTCTACTTATTCAAAGTATGAACATACTTTTGGATAGTCTTTAAGATAACTATAAAAATCAGCTATGTTCTAAAATTTAGCACTTATTTTTGTTCAATATTAATGACACAGGGTATGTGATATGAAAGAAAGAAATCTCATGACTTAACAGTTTTACAGTGCTGCCTGCACTTTGCCTAAGACTTTCTGGACTGTCATCATGTTTAGGAGTTGAGATTATAGTTTCATGTAAGTGTAGCATTAGATGACAACTCTCTATCTTCAGGCATCGAAACAAAAATTTTTCCTGGAAGAAAAACAAGCTAACATCCAACCTCCATTTAAACAAATTTGATTGTTTCTTTGCTATTAAGAAACTTGGTGTTTTAATTCTTATACTCTTTCTCCCACTCTATTGGAGACACTTTATAAACTTTTTCTCCTTTAAATTATCTGGTTTATATATTATTTCCCGTAGCCTGCAAATAGATAAAGGTTAAACGAAGAGAATTTAGGTTGTTGTTGGTAATTTAATAAATATCTCCTCTTGCTATGTTGCCCAAGCTGATTTGGAACTCCTGGCTTCAAGGCAATCCTCCCACCTCAGCTTCTTGAGTGGCCCGTACTACAGGTACGCATTGCCATGCCCAACAAATCACAGAATTTTAACGCTGGAAGCAATCTCGGGACTATTTCCTCATATTAAAGAAGAGAAGCATGGACAATATAGCAACACCCCATCTCTACAAGAAAAATTTAAAAACAACTAGGCGTGGTGGCACATGTCTGTAGTCCTAGCTACTCAGGAAGCTAAGGCAGGATGATTGTTTGAGCCTAGCAGTTTGAGATTACAGTGAGCTAGGATCATGCCGCTGCACTCCAGCCTGGCAACAAAGCAAGACCCTGTTTCTTAAAAAAAAAAAAAAAAGAAAGAAAAAGAAAAAAAGGGAGCATTCATATGTTAACTGACTTAGTCAAGTTCACAAAGCTCATTAGAAGTAATTTTAGTACCAGAATCCAAATTAAATGTCCTCCCTCTTAGTCTAGGCTGTTTTCACTTTTAACCTTTTATTAGTTGCTTGCTGTAAAAATTATTTGTAAATAGGAATACCTATGCAATAGCCTCTCTAAAAGGAAGGGCATATCTAGATTGATGCTTTAAAACTTATTTAAATTATTTAAATAAAAAGCTGAGTTTGCAATAATTATATTGGCTATGTAATGGTTGTTCTTACCTGAAGAGAAGACAAACATACTCTCTCTTTTTTCTATTTCAAAACGTGAAGCCATCTCTTCCTGACTTGCCTCTTCTTCATCTCGACATTCCTGTAACTGCCTCATCTTTTCCATGAGGGCTTCAACCTCAAAGAAAGAATCACTTACCTGAAAAGAAAATATAATTAATGTTACATGGGGCAGACATAGAATATACATGAATTATCTTTTATTAAGTCTGTCTTATAAGAATTTATATCTTAATAGAATATAGGGAAAATATTCTTATAATTTTAATGTACATGAATGAATAAAAAACAATTATTTTGGTCTATTAGGAATACCGACATGCAGATTTTAAAATATAAGAAAAAAATGATTTTAAGAACACATTCCAATGCTTTTACCTTATAAAATTAGCAATAATGTCATTAATATTTATGCTGTTTTAAAAATTAAACACTGTCAATTTAAAATAGAACTAAGTTCACTTCTACTTGCTTAATCTTCAAATAAATAAGATACACAAAGTATAACTGGTTTTGCATCAACTGTGTACACTGGGCATACATACTGTCAATGTGTCTATCGTCTTTAGTAATTAGCTCTATTTATACAGTTTACCAATTAAACATGAAACATGTGTTTACATGGCTAGAGTTAGCCACCTGACCTCTGCAAATAGATCTGGCAGCTGTCACTTGCTGGGATGACTAGAGCAGTGTCACACGTAGAGTAATGGGTCTGACAAAGGACTGGCCAAGTGGTCTTGCACTAGTCAAATCAGTTATACTTCTATACCCTGTTGTATTCTTGCTGCAAAAGCTAGATCAAATCTATGCAATTTATATCTTTCTTATAAAATGAATATATTAAGAAGTCTTGGTTGGGCTAGTGTCTCACGCCTATAATCCAAGCATTTTGGGAGCCCAGCGCAGGATAATTGCTTGAGCCCAGGAGTTCAAGGCTGCAGTGAGCTATGACTGTAACATTGCACTTCAGCCTGGAAAACAGAGTGAGACTTTGTATCAAAAAGAAAAACTCTTAATCTCAAATCTCAGTGTATACATACAAAATTGACGGTTCCCCCTTTATAAATTTATTTTGCCAGGAATGTTTTTAAGACCTCTATCTTCCACTCTTCCTGGCGTCCACTCATTGATCCTTCAGGTAGCAGCTTACATTTACATGCTTCTTAATACTATCAGTTACCCCACAAGCTGTAATTATTCTAACACAACTCTCTCCTCTTTCCTTCACAATCATAATTTATAATTGTTATTTGCATGATATTGATTTAATGCCTGCTCCCTTCCCAGACCAAACCTTCAGAAAGGTAGGAGATCTGTCTGGTTTATCTGTATATATCCCACACCTAGCATAGTACCTGGTACAGAGGAGATATTAAAAAAAATACTTGCTATAGAATGACTGCCAGAATAATTCTAGATTAAGAGACAATCGATATCACTTATGCTTTATACTTTCTTTTGATCCAAACAGTTACACTGAAATGCCCAGTACTAAGCCCTTTCTCTAATACTTTCATGATGGGAAGTGTTTCTGTGATGGTGCTGAAGATTCTTCTGGTGCATGCATTTTCCCCATAGTTATTCCTGACACAGTGTCAGTAACCAAATAAAAAATGAGCTGAAAAGGATTAGGTTACATGATAAGATGATTCAAAGTTTAAAAAAGGTCTCTTTCAACTCACATTATCTCTCATTATCTGTTTACCCATTCTCTTAAAATAAAGAGCCCAAATTGCAGGTATTCTTAGGAAAGATAATTCTTGATAAATTATATTGAAATAAGAGGGAAAGAAAACGAAGTAGGTTTCTTTGTTCCTTGACTGATCTGCCAAAGTTGTTAGGGTTAAAAAAAGTTAAGGCATTTCATTTTAATATTAAAATATTAAAACTGTAAGGAAATTCTTTTTTTTTCTTTATAAATTACCCAGTCTTGGGTATGTTTTTATTAGCAGCATGAGAACAGAATAATACACCAATACTTAGAAGCAACCAACGTGTCCTTCAATAGCTACTGGAATAAAGAAATGTTGGTACATCCAGAAAATGAAAAATTACTCGGTGCTAAAAAGAAACTTAAGTATCAAGCCATGAACAGACATGGGTTGATTCTTACGAGAATGAACAATACTACATTAATATTAAATTAAATGCATATTACTAAGTGAAAGAAGCCAATCTAAAAAGGCTACATACTGTATGATTCCAACTAACATTCTGGAAAAGGCAAAACTATGGAGATAGTGAAAAAAAAAAAAAATGAGTAAGTAGTTGCCCAGGTTAGGAGGGAGGGAAAACTCTTGTTTGTTTGTTACCATTTGTATCTGAAGAACTGAGTCAGATACTGTGTGGCCTGGTGGTGACACCACCTGAACACCTAAAAAACAAGCTACATCAGCTCACTGTCAAGTGGCATCAGAGTGGGCCACAAACCTTCTAAAAGTATACAACTTACCTGGGAATAGGAAGCTTATCTATTAGAGAAATAAAAATTATCTTCTTTCAATATTCATTCTTTTAGTAGAAGGATAACTAGAAACAATCAAGAACTTTTTTCTTTAGCCCTGTACTGAATTATTGGTAGCAAGGGCAAGAATCCGTCTCCTAGCATTCTAGCAACTGAATACTCTCTTGGATCCTCTTCTGATCACAAAGCTTTGATTAATCAGTGGTCATATGCAGGCCTATGATATGAATCTAGGCAGTGGTCTTTGGCAGTGTCAGGACAGTGCTATGATCAATCTTGGGAAAGTTATTTCTTTTGCTAATTATACCATAAGTAAATGCCACCTCTATTTAGCACCTGATAAATGCAAAGTGCTGGCATTTTACTTCTTTAGAGACATTTCATTTAAACCTCACAATAACTTGCGTTTTACTTTTATTTATACATGAAAGAACTGAGATTCAATAACATGCCCAAAGTTAAATATGTAAGTTAAAGGCAATTCAACCTGCCCACATCTATTTTGAAGGGATAACATAACTCAGAAAATGCATACAAAGCGTTCAGATGGCTGTGGTACTACTTCAATTTATTTTTCACTATAGCAAAGGAATGCAGGAGGAGATTATGATTCATCATAAATAGGAATTAAAATTTGCTTATAGAAAACTGAACTTGCTCTGTTTCAAAAGAGTAACAAACTTGAGAATATATAAAAGCCAGGAAGAGAAGGAATAGAGGTGAAAGCATTTTAACAAATTTGCATTCACTTGATACCACCTTCTGTATTGGTGTAAAATTAAACATGAAAAAAAATTTAAAGATAAATTTCCAGGTCAAAATTGATTAAATCTTCTGAAAGATAAAAAGGTAAGAAGTCAGGCTGTTTCTTTATGCAGAAGAGAAGAATGTGACTGGCACAAAAATCACAGTGTGGCCCACCAGGCCACACTATTTTCAGCCTTCCCTCATCTCACAGTAGTAGCCATTCAATATTATTTGGCCCTGATGGGACACATGCTGTTGGCTCCTGATTCTAAAATTATTTGAGTGTAAACTCCTAGAAGGTCTTAGAGTGTTGTACATCACTTTTATATAATTTTGAATAGCACCTAGACTAGTGATGAGCATGTCAGGCAGTCAATAAAACCTTACTAAATGAATAGATATAGAGGTCCAATATCTCCAGACTTAACAGGGTGGGTTTTTCTTCACCCTTCAAGCCAATTGAAGAAATAATATAACCGCAATTATTTTGATTAATTTTATGACAATCTCATGACAAATAACGAATACTTACAGAAACATTTTCTGCTGAGTTGACGTGCATCTCATCCACACTGTGATTGCCATTTGTAATGTCACAGATGCAGTAGTTGCTAACAGAAGGAGGTCTGAACGTGTGGCCACCATCACAATGAATTTCTGGACTGATTCCACAGCCAAATGTGAACGAGGCAAGAGAATGATAGTGTGTGAGTAAAACTACTGCATGTACCAATTCCGCAAGGGACCAGCTGTGTTCTTCAGCTTTTAAAAGTCCCTTAGGGGGGAAAAAAAGAGAATATGGTTTTTGTACTGGGGTGCGGTAAAAGTATACAGTTCATTTTAGTATTTATTGAAAACTTGATGAGTCACCATACAAAACCTAGTATAAAATTATCATTTGAAACATGTAAAACTCAGGATTTGTTAATTTTTGTGAATATGCATTCACAAATAGAACTTAACATAATCTATTATGACAGTCCACTATTATTCTGATTTTCTGAAATACTGACTTAGAATAGAATGGATTTTGCTTAAAAGTGGTTGCTGTGTTTCAGATACTGGATTATGAATTAATTACTGTGTTGTTAGTTCAATATCTCAAACCAAATGTAATAAATTTGTGTTTAAAAGTAGAAGCTGCTGTGTGAAATGCCTGTGTTTTGTTTAAGGCCTCCTCAAGGAATTTTTAAGATAGTGGCTTGAACAGCCTGACTAAATATTCCTAAATCATCAAATTATATTTATTTATTTTATTTTTTATGTTTTCTGAGACAGACTCTTCCTCTGTTGGCCAGGGTGGAGTGCAGTGGCACAATCTTGACCCACTGCAACCTCTGTCTCCCAGGCCCAAGCAATTCTCCTGCCTCAGCCTCCCAATAGCTGGGATTACAGTCGTGCGCCACCATGCCTGGCTAATTTTTTGTATTTTTAGTAGAGACATGGTTTCACCATGTTGGCCAGGCTGGTCTCAAACTCCTGACCTCAGGTAATCCACCCACCTCGGCCTCCCAAGTGCTGGGATTACAGGCATCAGCCACCACGCCCAGCCCAAATTATATTTAAATTATACATAAATTCTATAATTCTTCTATTCAATTCTGTATCCCTTCTGCTTCATTATCTATTTTGTAATCTTGCATAATTTTTCCTTGACAATATATAATGGGCACTGTATTAATTATATTCAAATCTTATAACTTCTTGATAATATCTTTAATTATGTAATAGTATCTATAAAGTAGGCAAGACCAAAAGATGCATCTTTTAAGAATTTCTAGTGCATGGTATACAATTCTAGAGAACATCAATCAATCTTTTACTTTATTACCTCTATTAATAAATAGAACCAGAACAAACTAGATTAACACAGCATTTAAACTGTAACATAAAGATGCACAATAATGAGATGTCACTTCACACTTATCAGAATGGCTGAAATCCAAAACACTGACACCAAAGCTGGCAAATATGTGGGCCAGTAGGAATGCTTCTTCACTGCTTGTGGGAATGCAAACTGATAATGCCACTTTGGAAGATAGTTTCACAGTTTCTTACAAAGGTAAACATAGGCTTATCACATTATCCACAAATCGCACTTATTTACCCAAATGAGGTGGAAACTTTTGTCAACCAAAAAAAACACACACACAAAAAAGCAAAAAACAAAACAAAAACCTATACATGAATGTTTACAGCAGCTTCATTCATAATTGCCCAAAACTGGCAGTAACCAAGATGTCCTTCAATAGGTGAATGGATAAACACACTATGGTATATCCATACAATGGAGAATTACTCAGTGATAAAAAGAAATGAACTATCAAGTCATGAAAAGACATGAAGAAGCCTTAAATGGATGTTGCTAGATAAAAAAGCCAGTCTGAAAAGCTATATACTTTGATATGATTCCAACTCTATGGCATCCTGGAAAAGGTAAAACTATAGAGACAATAAAAAGATGAGTGGTTGCAAGGGTTTAGGGGAAGGGGACAGGGATGAACAGGCGGAACCCAGGGCATTTTTAGGGTACTGACTATTCCATATGATACTATAATGGACGTATGACATTAGGCATTTGTCGAAACTTGTAGAACCATACAATGCAAAGAGTGAACCCTAATGTGAACTATAGAGCTTAGTTAATAGTAACATTATCAATACTGGTTCATTACAACAAATGTACCACACAAATGCTATATGTATAATAGAAGAAAATGTGAATCAGTGAGAAGAGGTTCAGGGGATAGAAAATGGGAACTCTCTGTACTTTCTATGCAATTTTTCTGTAATGGTAAAACTGCTCTAAAAAATAAAGTCTAAAATAACTCCCAAGATATATTACCTCACTACTTACCTCAATGTGTTCTTTGGTAATAAGCCAAGGTCTATGGGCTAACACTTTGTTGAGTTCTCCTAAATTCTGTAGTTTTTGAGGAGCATTCTCTAAACCATTGAGCCACTTGGGGTCTCCACCAACATGAAGGAAATCATTTACATGTAGGTTCACTAAGTAGGAGCACTGATGTCTTGCTGCAGCCTTAAGAGAAAACAAAAAGATTATTCTAATTATAAATATTAAACCTTGAACTAACTACATATCCTTTTTATTTACAACATGCAAAAGAGGTAATTAAGTTTACTGGTATGTTTTCAAATTTTCCATAAACTACAGAAATTCAGTTTTTATATAAAAATTTTAAAAATTCAAATACAGTAAAAGAACCTTACAAATATTCCAACAACAAACAAAATATCTGATAAAAGTATTTGAACTTTAGACATTTTATCTACATACCAACTTTCAGAACTTCAGATTAAGAAGAAACTTCAATTAAGGTGCCAATCATAAAATAATGGAATATTATTTACAAACTGAACAGGAAGCACCGCTTATGTCAATGTGAACTATTTATAATAATGAAACAGAACTTGTGTTCTACTTTTCTTATTTAATAAAAAATGGTTCTCAGGAATGTATAAATACTTGTTTTTCTGTTACACTTGAGAGCATTCTTATTTAAAAATAGAAAAAAATAGAGACTACATAACAGGAATCGTATTACAAATCATAATATAAGTATCCCTGTGTTTAAAGTATTAACTGTCTTTAAAGAGATTAATAATAGGCAAAAAGAATTTTTCCCTGAATGTTTACAAACCATTATTCCAATGTAGTGCCGATAATGTAGGGGTAATGGCCCATCCATTTGTAGTAGATAGTGTTGAGTTTTTAAGAAACTTTCTAAATATTGTGGGTGGAAAACCATCACTAACGTAATGTTATCCAAACGGCCCAAAGCAGCAAAAGAATCTGCAAATAAAGCATGCATCTGTGCGTCTTCACTCCCCACTTGGAGGA